CTCTTTGTTTCATTAATTCGACAAGCCTCGCTTGTTGTTGTACTCAAGGATGCCGAGTCCCTTCCCGATTCTCGCACGTGTGTGTACGCACCCCCCCTCCCCGTCTCCTGTCACGAGATACTTTATAAGTGCACAAATGCCCTGTCTTTTCCCGTGAATGTTTTCTCTCGACCAAAGTATAAATTATGCATGCATTATTGATAGCGTTGTTAATTTCTAAACAAACACGATCTGTGTTATGTCAGTTTTTTTTTCTATACGCAAAGCAATCTATGCTTGTGAATTGCAACATTACTTATGCAATTCTATGCGCAGCCAGTTACAATCCTGCATTGTGTTTTGTATTATATCCCATTAAATAATACTCACGATCAATGTTTGCTCCCCATGCTCCTACAATTGCCTATTCAAGAGAGAGAGAGAGAGAGTTGTATCATTGCTATGGCTATGATTCTCTGCGCATGCAGAGCTCAAAATCGGCCAATTTACAGCTCTTTCCGACTGCATTTGTGGAACTTTTTCACAGAGCTTGCATGTGAACCTTTGCACAAAATTCGACTGCAATTTTAACACTTCATCGGGTGGATCAGATGATGCTTCTTTCAAATACAAAATAATTTGGAACCTCCAAGCCACACGTTTAAGTTGTTCCAGGTCTTTTCGTCTACACAGTTTACACCATTATCGCAGTGGTACCATCCTGGCTCCGGTTCTGTACTTCGTGAACCCGTTCAACTGCGGCAGCACAGCACCCAGACGGAGTCTCACTAAATTTAATTAACTTTCACTTTTAACACTTGTAGAGATATTCCCTCTGTGTGATGTACAGGGGGGCACCCACGTCCTGTGAGCTGTCCCAGGTCTACCAATCTGTTGTCTCTGTTTAGCAATCAAAAGATCTCTGTGACGTTCACCGCTTAATTTACGGGGTGGAGTGATTGATATTGGCTGCCGTCGATGGATAGACTATATAGGGCAGCATAAGGAATGGAATTGCAAATTCCTGCTTTATCAAAACTTCACTTTAATGTGCAATTTCTCACAGAAGCATATCCACCTTGCACGGCTATTTAACATTGAACACGGTGCTTTGAGAGCGGATTATCACGCAGGAGGGAAGGATTATTTATGGCCAGTTTCCATGATCTCCACTGATGTCCAGCAGCATTTCCAACCCTTGAAGATAACGGCAGCGTTTATCTACAAAGCCCGGGGCTTAATTTCTGGCAGCGTAAGTGCTGTCTCGGATAGAGTCGCGTGATGGAAGGCGTTGGGGTGATACGATAAAACCTGACGGTGAATTCTTCATGTTTTGTACACAGGCGGGTCCACGATTTGAGACGTATCTGCTCTAAATATGCGCGTTATCATTATTATAATCGTGACGTGATGTCGTTTGTTTTCACTTTGGAATAGTGCATCAATCAATTACGACTTTAAGTCAGAGGGAAATAATGCGTCCCATTTTCTTGATAAGGGAGACATGGGTCGTCAAACAATGCAGTTTCGGATGGACTCGGACAGAATTACATTTTCATAATCCTGAAGTGGTGATGGTCCGTATACAGGTCAAACCTTTGCCTTAAATAATCCGTAGGCTCCAAAAAATATTATTGCCCTCAAAATGACTCCTCGCGGTGTTTCAGTTGGATAATTTTGAAAGTTTCGCCACGGGGTTTCCTATTTTGCGAAACGGCCCACGGATGAACTCAGGCAGATTAGATTTTGAGTTTTTTCTGGGTTTCTGCTGTTTCCTCCCACAACGTATTAGTACTGCTAAAAAAAAAGACTTTAAATAAAAAATGGAGGAGCCTCTTGAAAAAAATAATAATCCTCCAACTCAGTGTGGCTTTGAGGGATACATAATAAAACACTGATTATATATGCGTGTTCTTATTTGGGAGATTTATTAAACATAAGGAAAATCTGAGATCCTAGAGTTATTTAAGAACCCAATGCCTGAAAGGCACAGTTAAGCCTTCACACGGCAGTATATTGACATAGGGCTGTAAGTAATTTCAAGCAGTTTATGAGTTTTTTAAATGTATTATTACGTTGGATTCAGGCTTACGCTTTCAACTGCTCCATACAATATTCCATTTTCGATCAAAAATTATATTCATGACATGACACTGCATATGATATTTAAACGCCATACCAATGTCCCAGAAGAAGAACATTTTCAATCATTGCATTCAGCCATCTGTGACGCGGATCAGAAAAAAAAAATGGTACACTGGCAAATGAAATGGCACATAAACTGAAATGAACACAAAGAAATGCAAACATATTCACGGTCGGATTTATATTCGGAGACAGGAAAGGGAGCAGGTGAATCGAGTAACAAAGAGAGATGTAACAGTCTTGACTGTTACAGAAAGTGATTGCGTTTGGACAGGGCTCATCAAGGAGATGGATTTTCAGCCAAAGGATGAAAACATCCTAGAGGATGATCACCACCCAGATGAAGCAATGAGATCAGTTTATGTGCAGGAGTGAGATTTTAAAATATATAATAGGGGTTTAGCCTTTCTGGCAATAAAACAGGGGTTGTGTTAAGATGTTAAACACCAAATAGGAACCTATTGCAAGGAATCAAGTCTGCATTAACCACACAGTACTTGTGGTGAACATGCAAACAAACATGCTCTGACAATATATGCATCGTCTTTGAACCTGGTTGGCCTGCACTGGCAAAAAAGAGGTCCCATGATAGGAGTGAGATGGATTGAAAGCTTTCGTGACTGCAGGGATTCATCTTCTTGGTGCTTTCGGTAAAGTCACGTAGAATGGAAATAATAAAATAATAAATATAAAACATAATAAAATAATTCTCATTTTATTATGTTTTATTTTTATTATTTCCATTTTATTATGTTTTATTTTTATTTTTTTATTTTTTCCATTCTACGTGACTTTACCAAAAGAACCAAGAAGAGGAGTGAGATGGTTTGTTGGGTCGTGTGACAACTCAAAGCAATCATCCCGCAGTAGATAGACCATAACAGACGATGCCGTCCCCAAAAAGGTTTGTTTACAATAATATAATTTTTTTAAATGTACGTTCGGAAACATTAAAAAAAGAGGTTCCCATCATAATGCGCGGTCCCTGTATTAGCTCGACATTGATTTGCGTCAATGCAAGAAAGCAAAGCGAGGAATTGTAACCCTGATTAGTTCATATTGCGCAACAAATGTTGTGCTCTCATGGCCTCGGCTATTCAGCCAACTTACAGGGCGCCCTTGACATTCACTTAGACTATGCAGCGCATTCATTGTTTGCAATTACCGACTTGTTAATAATTTATAATGACGATTAAAATCAAGCGTTCCCAGAGGAGAGATGGAGAGACGTAGCTCAGAGGCAGCACTTAGTCATACCTGGTTATGTAAGCTTTACTAAATTCGTGTAATTATATGAAAGATGCATGTCATTTGCTCTTTTAAATATAACATTTTCCTCCTGTTTTGTTCTATACATATTTTTTTGTTTTAACATTTTCTACGTGTGCGTATGTTTGTTAATGTATTCCTGGCCATGATATAACATAAATGATGAATGATATCGCAACCGTTCCTGGCCTACCGATAGGTCGACTCAGCCTTAAATGAGTATCTGGTGCAGTGTCTAGACATTAGCACTTGGGAGAAAAAGTTGGCCGGGCATGGCACTGGTCACACCCCCTCGTCTCCTGCGAATTGCCAGCTGTCTTAGGTGCACGCTAAAAGCAGTTGCCCCAACAGTCTATGCAGGCTACACGGGGGATCTTTGTCTTTGTTAAAGTATTTGTATATCTCGGCGCTCACGAACAACACTTGCTTCTCGTTCAAAAGTCTTCAAAGGTTTTGACTTTTTGGGTTTCATCAGCAGGGTGTAACTTATCAAAAATCTGAACTCCTGTTGAATCTGCTGATGGCTCAGAGAAGTTGACTTTCATCGAGGGCTACCCTGGTTTAAAACATGTTCTACTGTGCACCAGTGCTGCGTCAGGCAATAGTGACGCATCAGGCAATAATAATGATGCATCAGGCAATAATAGTGCTGCGTCAGGCACCGGTGCTTCGTCACGCAATTGTGGTGGTCAAATGACTCCTCGGTAGCACATTCACCACTTGTTGCAAAGGTCCGCGATTGGAATCCAGCGTCGGCCCTGGTTATTACTCTGCGAGTAACAAGCACCATAATGCGCGCCGTCGGCTTCACGGTGGATGCTAAACTATCCGCCGGTGTCAAGCGCAAGAGTGGGTCATTGTGTGCTGGCGTCAGGGCCCAAATTTGGCAAGTTTGAAAAGCGGAACCGCAACTTTCTCATTTTGGGTTTTTACATCGCGCCCATCGCCCTCTACTGCACACACTCAGCAGGACTCCCTTGGGGGGTGGGGGATCACTCAGAATTGAAGATGATAATGGAATGAATTAGCCACGTGACTCATTATTCACCAAAAAATGCACATGATATGAATCCGTCCACCAAAGCAAGATGGAAAAATATTTGCATAATCTGCGGATAATAGGACAACAGATGATTGGAGTTGTTTTTCCCCTCTGAAACTACAGCTCCAGTAGATAAGAGGAGTTGTGGGTAATCGGGTCACAGATAAGAGGAGTTTTCATGTGGGTATCGTGTGCAGTTTGCTTGGAGCAGGCGCAATGAACTCACTTGATTCATGCCCATTGATCCAGCGTGAGCCGTGCGGCACGGGAGGCGATCGATAGGAGCGTCGTGGAGTTTGACGGAAGTGCCTGGGGGTGTTTTTCTTCGTTGGTCGCCAATTGTGATGCGGAGAGATTTGAAACGTACCAGGCAGCATGCCCGGGAGACAATTGGCACGAGCCGACATTTATTCGTGAACGGACGTGGGGAACGCACGGCCCGTTTCAACAACGCGCTGAAGAGCGTGCGACCGTGCGTAACCCCCCCCCTAAAAAAAACTTTTAGCAACAATAACCCCCCCCCCCACACGCACATACCAGTTGCTGAAGAACTGTGTCTGCACAGGCGAGGAGCGCATTGGGGTGGACGCCCCGTACGAGCAGGAGGGGAAGGTGCCGTTCGTGATCGACGCGGTGTACGCCATGGCGCACGCTCTGCACAGCATGCACCAGGAGCTGTGCCCGGACGCCGTGGGGCTCTGCCCGCGCATGAACCCCGTCAACGGGCAGGAGCTGCTGCGCTACATTCGCAAGGTCAACTTCACAGGTGAGACGCGACCCCCTACCGCAGAGCCCCGATCGCTCGCTCAGCTCGCACGCGCTAGGTGTGCCCGGCAGCTTGCCCTCGTTTGAAGATGTGGCGGCGGCGGCGGCGGGCGGGGAGCAGACAAACAAGTTAAGCAAAGGGGCACAACATCGTCGCCGACGTTAGATAAACTACTTTAAATAAACCGTTAAAGGCCGAACTAAATGGAGTAACGAAACGACCCCGCACCTCCTATTAGCACGGTTGGCTACGTACGGCGCGAGAGAAGTTCAATGTACAGGCGACATCGCCGACGTTAGATGAACTTTAATTGACCGTTAAAGGCTGAACGGAATGGGTAACGGTACGATCTTCTTTCTAGCAAGAGCCCAGGGCGCCCCTCGATTGTAGGTTAGCCTGGAAGTGTACGCATTCCGATTCGCTGTAACTGAGACAAAAACACAGGGGCACACTCCTTACGGTAAAGCGTGTTCGCCAAACTGGCAAATGTTGAATTAAAACCCTCCACTGGCATTACATATTTTAGCAATTTATTTTTTATTATCTATAAGAATGCATATGGGGGTGGGGGGTGGCTGAGGAGAGGCTGAGCATTCAGCAGAGGGGGCATAGCCCCATGCAGCCCCCCAACCAGCCCCCCACCCTCCACCACCAAACTCACTGTGGGGCTGTACATGCGCGTTTGAGCTCGCACGCGTGTGCATGCGCACTTGCGGGTGTGCTCACACATGCACGTGAGCGCACAAAGATGCACATTTGCAGAGCCAAAGACACGCACACACGGATGTGTTCGTGTACCCCGACAAACAAATATATATATATACTAACAGCTTGTGTTTAGCGTAATAGACCATGTGGCCAAAGCACTGTTAGGAAGCAGCACCTATTAAGACTGACATACAACACGAAGTGGTGGTGGTGGTGGTAGCGAAGTCAGCCTCCACATCAAGCTGACCTTCGTCTCCCCAGCGCTAATGTTCACACACCGCGCCATGCTCTGATTTTAGGCTGAGCTCACCTAAGGATGGCCCAGAATAATTAAGATATGTGACGACATCGCCACAGCACTTGCCCCAAGCTAGGTTTACTTTGAGGCAACGTTAAGTGTCGAAGGCTCACTGGCAGGGGGCCGGTCACGGGACAGAACCACGTGTTGTGCATTAACTGAATGAGATGACTGGAAAATGCATCACCTTCGCTCCGCACTGCCAACTTGCTCTGTTTTAGTTCGCCCGACGCTGCGCTCATTGTCGTGACATCGCTCATCTGCCCTCCATCGTTGCCAATGGACGATCGCTTCCAACTGCCCGCAAGACACATGTGCACGTTGCAATGTTGGTGATGGATTAATAGAAACGTAGCCCAATGCTTTGATTTTATATTGGCCTTAAATTGCGCGACCGCTTTCGACGTAATACGTTGCTGCTGCATGTGGATTGCTTACTACCGTCGATAGTCAACTGTGAGCTGCTGCTGCTGCTGCTGCTGCAGTCGTGATACAAGCGGCGTGTGGTGGGCACGTGAAAAATCAGGGATGTCAAACCAAAACCACCTGATCATTCGTCCACGTCAAGAATTGTCAGCAGCCAGACTCAGATCGGAAATGTCCCCAAAGGTCACTGGAAGCAGAGAAATGAAAAGGTGGTCTTAATGGGAAGATCAGAATAGAACAAGAGCTAATGTATCTTTGCCCATTCATAGCTCCTGGCCCTGCCTGGGCTGTAATCTGACACGACAAAGCCGGCTTAGAGGAAACATTTGTGACTCATGAATAGCGTATCCTTTGTAGTTCTCGAATGACAAAGTGAAACTCATGAAACTTTCTATAAAAAAAGGTCACAGAGTATTTTTTTCCGATTATACAAGGGGTAGAGTGGTGATACAGCAGTTGGCTATGGTCCCAACTGGCTGATCAGATCAGAGAGCTATTTTTTTGTAGAATCTGATCATAAAGAATATAACATGACTGCAAGAATCACAATTACATTTCGGAGGCAAGGGTCGGTGAGGCTCCCATACCAGCTGGGGTGTGAGGTGACCAGGAGATTAATGATTCATGTGGGCTCAAGAACCTGTCTGAGTGGGCATTTGAATTATCCCTTTGTACGCAGGGATTTTCTCCAGGTGCTCCATGGATTTGTGCTCATTGATATTTGTAATGAATTGTTCAATTGTACGTGTGAATGTTTTTCTTTTATTTTTTATATATATACAAATCTTACACTATAAATAGGAAGTAAATTTGGGATTAGGACCATTTCTGTAGCACAAAGGGTATGATATATGGGATCAGTGTACATACCATTGTTCCTAAGAACATCATACAACGTTTAGCCTCTTTGCTAAAACACAATTGCATTCATTCTTGAGTACATGTTTATCTTGTATTAATTAATTGCACATTAATTGCACGCACTCCCTGATATGATTAAGATAAAATATACACGGTTAACGGCTGTGCCAGGAAATCGTCTCAAGCATTACCTTGAGAATAGGAGGGACACAGAGTGAGATGGTTAACAGCGGCATCTGAATCGTAGACATCGGCAAACACATTCCACACCGTCCATCAGCTCACTGATTTAACACACTGCGCGTATCTGATCGACAGATTGATTCACTTTATATCACCGGGAGACACACCAATGGAGACTTCTTGTCTCTTTTCTCAGGGTGACATCGGTCCAAAAGTGACAGCCAATGCATGGTGTGATAGAGCCAATGCCAATACAAAGTAGCACAGAGAAAAGAAAGGTCCCAGACAGAAAGAAAGTTTGCCCTCGGAAAGGGAACAATTTCCTCGTTATTCACGAATTTGCTATCTCGAACATTCATATTCAGTGCAGTTTTGCTGGGTACATAAAGGGAATTATTTACAGTCTGTTCTCCTATAACGCTGGTGGTTGCGATCCTGAGGAACGAGGGCGTCATGGAAAAATCGCGTTATAATAATGATATACAATATGGAGGCAATGCACAGTCCGTGATAACGCGTGAGATGCGTACGCAGGCTGAACAAAGAGGCGTGTGGGTAGCATCTAGAAGAATCCAGCAGCATCCCGCCTTGTGCGATGCTACGCAGAGGCAGCCGTACAACAGCGTATTTCTACTCGTGCGACGTAGTTCTGTTCACTCGATCGCGTTATATCCAATTCAAATCCACGTGATAAAAAAAAAGTGTCCCCTAATACATTTATTGTGCTCTATCCAACTCGCGTGATGAAAATACGCGGTGTCGTAGAGCAGACTGTACATTCACGTACAATGTGGGGCATGAATCGAGGTTACTCCATTGCTGGCAAAGAAATTCTAATTTTCATAACCACGTGGCATCATTGTGTTCATCCATTTGCTGTGTTTTGCCTCGCTTAAAATGCACAACCATAATTCACGTTGGTTCTTTTTGATTATTGTCACAACCGACGTTCAGGGATTTGGATTTTACCTCCTGCTTAATATGGGACCATGTGAATCCATTTCAATTATGCAGAGAAACTAGATTCTTAGGTGGCAGAGTACTTACATGTCAACACACACACAGATATATATTCATAGCCTTGCCTATTTTCCTTCCATTTGTCTCATCATTGTGCCAACACTCCCACAACAAAAGGCAAAGACCCCCCGTATAGCCTTTAGCAGACCGTTGGGGCAAGTGCTATTTACGAGCACCTATTAATTCCGGCACAGCACACGAGGGGATGGATGTCCAACAGCATCACACACCTTTGTCTCCCGAGTGGCAATGTTTAAACATCGTTCTATATTTGAAGCTTTCGTGACTGCAAGGATTCATACTCTTAGGTTTTTTCGGTTAAGTCACGTAGGTAAACATTTTTTTAAACATCGTATCAGGTACTCATTTGAGGCTGAGTTGACCTAGGGGAGGCCCAGGACTGGTTCAGGATTTTGTCACTGGTATTGACCGTGAGCTGGAATCGAACTTGGGTGGTCGGGTTCATAGCACGGCATGCTAACCACTGCACCAACGATCTCACACCACTCGAGCACTTCTAACCCCTTCCCACACAGGCACAAGCAAACATACACACTCCATCCACACTTCACCACCAAGTAGCAGTGATGTTATCACGGCATATGCGCCAGGCTAGGTGCAAAAGGATTGCTAGGTAGGTCACGAGACAGATGTCGAATTCATGGCTCCACTGCTCAAGGTCACGGAGAAATGCAAAGAAATACAAAAATAAAAGAAATACAAAATTGACAAATGCCTGCGTTTTATTTGCACAATGCTCTACTCATTGTGGGCATCGCTCCTTCATCTACCGTTGTTGCTACCAGCTGCCCGGCATCATCTTTCACGTAAATATTCACACGCACTTGAAACAAAAGATGCCCCATACAGCCCTACACACTGTTCAAGCAAATGCTGTTCGTGAGCACCTTAGGCAAAGACAAAGACCCCCCGTGTAGCCTTAACAGACTAAGAGGGGGCAAGTGCTGTTAGAGAGGCACCTATGAGTTCTGGCACGGCACACGGTTGGGTGGGTGGCCAGCACCACGCCCGGCCGCCTTTGTCTCCCTAGTCGCGATGTTTACACACCGCACCAGGTACGCAATTGATGCTGAGTCAACCTATGGGAGGCCCAGAACCGGTTCAAATAATCGTCGCTGGTGGTGGCCGTGAGCGGGAATCAAACTTGGGTCGTGGGGGTTTGTAGCACAGCATGCTAACCACTACACTACCGCTCCCCACCACCGAAACAAAGACAAAGATCCCCCGTATAGCCTGGAGAGAGTTTTGGGGTAAGTGTTGTTAGCGTGCACTTATGAAGGCTGGTATGGCACACGAGGAGGCTGGTGGCCAACACCAAGCACACACGCGCGCACCGAAACACGCGCGCACACATATAACACGCGTTGGTTAGTGACAGCGTGACTCGCAGAGGGTTTCGCGTGATGGATAGCTCTCGTTAAAAACGTATTTGTCCAAACTTGTGCTGGAGAAATTACAGGATTGCGTCGATTGGGGAGCTGTG